ATTGTGCTAAACAGCTCCCATCATCCGGTCCTAGTTTTGTCTCGATAAAAAAAAAGGTACCTAATATATTATTATATTATTAGTACTAGCTGCAGATCCCGTGGACTTTGTTACGTGTAAAAAGTAGGAACTCTTAAAAATTAGGATTGTTCAACTCCTTTTAGGTGTARCTCGCTGCAGTATAAGCCAGTAAGTGCTATTTACTTTGGTAGACAATGTTCAAAAATTCTATTTGACAGTTGTATCTAGTGGCGTACATAGAGGTAGGGTTCTAAGGTTCTGACCCCCCCTCAATTTTTTTCCTTTCATATAAAAATTGTATTTACCACCRTTTCAATACACAGAATCGATCAATTGGTGGTAAGTTTTAATAGATATAATTGTTTTATATTTAAATTGTTAATTTACCATTAATTATAATTTGTTACAAGTTAGTGTGTGTTCAGTGTTGTATTTCCCAGTTAACATTCTAAATTAGTGTTTAAGGTGGCAATTTCTCAAGGGCGGCAAATAATTTTTAAAATGTTTTATTTTAAGTAATAATGGAAACTATTATAATTGTACGCTTTAATAAAATTTTAAACTAGAAAAATATTTATATTAAAAGGTCGTAATGTGTTTGGTGCTTAAAGCTGCACAATGATTAAATTCGGCACTGGTTTCGCTTCTGGTTGTATATACCTGCAGATCTAGTGATCCACCCGAATAACCAATAACAACCTGCAATAATAAATAAATACTAGTTTCTACCAATTATTTCTCGTATAACCAATAGTAACCATTTATAAACAAAAACTCACCAAAAATCTTAAAATCCCTGTTTGAGCCCATCCCCGGATGATAGTAGGAAGGTGGAATATATTTTACAGCCTATTTTCATCCCTACTGACCCTACCATAATATATACAAAAACAATTTCATCCGAATTGATCGAGCCTTTAGGGAAGATACTAACACTGTGACACGAGAATTTTATATAATAGATTGATACTACAATATGATGGTGCCTGTTCAATGACGTCATAGGCGTGTCCACGGGTTTCGCCTGTCATGCAGATGCATAACCCAATGACTATAAATATTCTATAAACCTTGAGCATAACCTGCGAATTTTGATCAAACTTACATTGTAAAAAAATTATTATCGTTAAAAATTATTATTATATTTTATATATTATATTATATATATATATACCTATATTATGTACTTGGTAAAAACTWCATTGATATTGATTTAATAAACTCAAATCGAGTAATAATAACATTACTGGCGTATTTGGTCATTTGCTCCCTTAGGTTTTGTTCCTTATCGAAGGTACGATGTTACAAAGTTATCGACTTTTATTGACTGTGAGTGCTTTGGTATTGTTAASTGTGTATCGTTATTTTATCGTTGGGGAAAAAAATAATTATATAATTAATAAAAATGCATGTCGCTATTTTCAAAATCATGTATGCATGCAGTCAATGAATGTCCACTAATCACAAATAAAAATGTTATAGTGCATATTTTTAAATTTTAAATACATATAAATCGTTTTTCCCTGAGACTCAATTTACCGAATTAGGGTCATTTGGGACTCAATTTACCAATCCCGGAGAAATTCTAAAAATCAAACAATCACTTTTATATTTATCCAAGATATTAAAAATCATCTATAATGGAAGATACCTATTTTAAATCTTTCTATTTTTCAATTACATTTTAGTAGTCATAATGATT